ACCGACTACCTAACTACTAACTACAGTCCCCCCACCCCACCACACACACACACACACCCTTTCCTGGCTCCTTGTCGCAATCTCTTCACCCAGCCAGTGCCAGTTCCCATCCCATACCCTGGTTCCTCTCTTTCCTCTAACCCCACTGATTCCCAGTCCTAGTCTCCTTGATGTGTCAGCCCCAGTCTCCACACCAAGCTCTTCATCCAATCTCAGTCTCTCCTTCACCTACTGGCTCCCACTCCCCCCATAGCCCTTCCCAGCTGCTAGTCTTCTTACCCACTCACTCTCAGTCCCCTCCCCCACTTCCTTTCTTGGTTCCCAGTCCTCTTACCCAGTCACTCCCAGTGTCTCTTCAGTTGGCTCCCAGTCCCAATCTTCTCACAAGCTCTGTTTCTCACTTCCTCACCCCGGTCGGTCCAGCTCTTGTCCCCACTGTATTGGGATCAAGAAGCTTCCTCTTCTACATTGCCTAGACCCAGAGGCAGAGAGAGCACAGCAGAAAGTCTCCCTGTTCTCATTTCCAGTGCCTGGATCCAAACCCAACACAGCCCAGAGATGCAATTGCAGGGAGAGTTCTGTTTCACCTTGGCTGAAACATGCTTAGCAAAGACAGAATCTTCAAAGATTTTAGCTGTTAAGTTCTAGCAAGTGTCTGATCATGTACAAACTGCAATTTCTCAAAGGCTTATGAACTGGCCAAATTTGGAAGATTATCATAGGCATGTCACTGACACAAAGGCCACCCCCCCCTGCAAAACTCCAAGTCCCTGCTCCAAAGCATGGTGGCTCTAACGCGTTTCCAGACAAAGGTCACCAGCATTTTTTAACATGAACAAAATAGATTTAGGCTTGGCAGGATTTGATATAAATTAGAGATGTCTGTAAACATCCATTTTTCAGCCAACATTCCAAAATCTCTCAACAAAAAAAATCTCCATCAGTAACAGCCCCTATACCTTAAACCTACAGGGACTGAGTGTCACTGCAGCATCAGAGAGCCCTCTGCAGCCCTTCTGGCAAGAGAGAGAGGCAGCAGGACCATGACAGCAGAGCTGCAGAGGGCTTCCTGCACACCTGTGGGGCCAATGACACTGGATCCCTGCAGGTGCAAGGAAGGCTATGGTCCTGGCCAGGTAGACAGAAGATTCCTGGGCTAGCACTGCAAGGAGTGAAACTAGTTCTTGGCTGTGGGGGAGGCCACCCTGCTGCTGAATGGCTCCTGATTGGGGACAGGCTCATCCTTCTCATTGCAGAAGTTTCTGTTCTGCCAGGATGTCCTTCCTACACCTTGTGCTAGCAAGGATCGGGTGCCACCAGCCCTTTGGCACCTGATCCTTGCTAGCACAAGGTGTAGGAAGGACATCCTGGGCTGGGCAGAGAGCCCTGCAGCACCATTGTCAGCACTGCCCTATCCCTAATCCCAACCCTATCCCACTTAGTTTCCCACACCTGTGAAAATAAAAAGCTAAAAATTTATATTAATCATCAAAATTGCAAAACAAAAATAAGAACTAAAGTCTGCTAAACCTAAATATATTTTTCCCTAGCCTCACTCTTGGAAATGGCTGAATACCCCTTTTAGCTTTCCAAAAAAAAAAAAAATCCACCAGATGGTCAAAGTCTGGCACAATTATAAGGAACTGAAACCAGGGTCTTATAATGGGAAGGGTGGGGTACAATAGTAGGTTATGCTACTCCTCCTGCTGATAATAAATTACTCTCTAGCCATTTTCAGGCACTTTTGTATTTTTCTCCTAGCTGGCTTTAAAATACCCCTGTGTGTTTGCTCCTCAGTTACGCAGCTGGGAAATCTCCCATCTTCCCTGACTAGAAATAGTTTGCTTAGAAGTGTGTTCTAACCAGTTTTAGGGAGTGCAACCAGGAAGAGCTCTTCAGCTCAGCCTCCCCTTCCCTTCAGACAATCACGGAGAACAGGTACTTTGGCTTTAGGCTGTAAAGCACTGCGCAGGTTAGGCAAACAGGCTGGTCTGGGTTTACTGGTTAGTCCTAACCCAGCGCAGGGAGTTGGACTTGAGGACTTATCCAGGTCCCTTCCAGCTGTACTGCCCTGTGTGTATTATTAACTCACTCCCATGGGAGTGTCCATACTCCTGCCCTGCCGTTGCGGGGGGGGGGGAGGGGCTCTCGGTCCGGCTCTACATTGCACCTGTGGGGTGGGGGTAGGGAATCTGCCCCCGGGAATTTTGGGTCCCTGCATGCCGGCCTGTGGCTAGGCTGGTCACTGCGCTGGCGCCGCCACGACCTCTGTGACCTGGCCGCCCTGCCTCTGCCCCTCCCGCCATGGGAGCCGCTGGGCCCGGCCCGTCTGCGCTTCCCCTACGCCCCGCGGCTGCCGCCTCTCTCGGGCTGCGAGGAGACGCGGGGCGGGGGTTGGCGCCGCGCCCGGGCACAGCACGCTGCGCCCAAGGTCGCAGAAGGTGCCAGCCAGAGCCGGCCCAGGCACGTCAGCGCCGCCTGGCCCCGAGCCCGCAGCCAGCGCCGCCCATCGCTCCCTGGGCGCTGCCTCAGTTACTTAAATAGCGGCTCCCGCCGCCGGGCCGGCCAGCATGAGCCCGGCGCGCTGCCACACCGCCGTCTCCGCAGGTAAGAGCCGCCGCAGCCCCCCCGGGCTGTGCCAGGGCCGGGAAGCGGGCGGATAACACAACCCCAGAGCAGCGGGAGCCCCGGGATCCGGCGCTGCCGAGACTGGGGGCGGCTGGAGCCGGCGGGGATGGGCGAATTAGAAACAGCGGGGAGCAGGGTCCGTTCCCCCCGAGGGAGGGGCTCAGCCTGAGCAAACCTTCCCCCTCCCCCGGCTGCATTGGGGGTGGGGACAGGCTGAGTGTCTCCTTTCTACGCCGCCTTTTCCAACCAAGTTCTGCTCCTTCGGGGCCCTGCGCTTGGGGCTTGTCGCCATCGGGGTTTTACCTGGCGTCAGTGAAGCGGCGTTAGCAGGTTGGGAAGGGCTGTGTAGCCCCCCTGCAACCTGCCTTCTACGCTGTGTGCGGAGCTTTGCGGGTTAACCTAGGCCGACGTTTCTCAAATGCAGCAACCCCAGCAGCCTGCTTCCACCAGGGGCTTTTCCTGCGGCGGACTGGGCGGGGCAAAGCAGCGGCCCCTCCCCTGGGGCCGCCAGCAGGGGTTGGGCCCTGCCCCCCTCAGGAGCCACAAACCCTGGAGGCAGCAGGGCTTGGGCTTGCACTCAGGTGCGGCAGGCATTGGGCTCTGGCCCCGGCCCCAGGCTCATCATTTGGCCCCTGGGCATGCAGCGGGCTCTTGCTATGGGCTCTGACCACAGGGCTTCCGGGCTCTGACTGTGGGACTTCTGGTTCTGTCCTTGGGCTTTGACTGTGGGGCTTCGGGCTCCATCTCTGGGCTTCAACCACATGGCAGTGGGCTCCAGCGGCACGGTTTTGGTCTCTGGCCATGGGATCCAGCCCCAGTCTCCCATTGCCCCTGGCCCCCACTGGGTCCTCCAGCCCCAGGTTTCAGCCACAGGCCCCAATGTTCATTTTTCTGGGAGGGGGGTGCTCTTCCACCTCGAGGCTCAGCCCCCACTCTGCCCCTTCCCTTAAGGCCCCACCTCTTCCTGTCCCCTTCTGCCCCTCCCCCCCAGCAGCTCCCGCCCTCTGCCGAACAGCTGATCAGCAAGTGGCCCACTATTTTTTTTCTGTAGGTGCTCCAGCCCTGGAGCACCCATGGAGTTGGCACCTATGGTTTCAGCTGCACGCTCCATTCCCCGGCTGCATGGTGGCAGGCACCTGGCTCCAGCCATTGGGCTTCAGGCTCTGGCACCCAGCTGTGTGACGGTGGGAGCCAGCCCCAGGCTACCCCCTGATGTCCCCATTGCTCCTGGCCCATGCTGCATCCTCCAGCCCCCATGCCTGACTGTCTGGCTATAGGGTTCCGGTCCCCGGGCTCCCCCCCATCACTTGCCCCCGCGGGCTTCCCCAGTGCCAGAAGGGACCATTATGATCGTCTAGTCCAGGGGTTCTCAAACTGGGGGGTGGGACCCCTCAGGGGGTTGCGAGGTTATTACATGGGGGGTCATGAGCTGTCAGCCTCCACCCCAAACCCCGCTTTGCCTCCAGCATTTATAATGGTGTTAAATATATAAAAAAGTATTTTTTAATTTATAAGGCAGGGGGATTGCACTCAGATGCTTGCTATGTGAAAGGGGTCACCAGTACAAAAGTTTGAGAATCACTGATCTAGTCTGACCTTCTGTATAACGCAAGCCATAGAACTTCCCCAGAATAATTCCTAGAACATATATCTCAGAAAAGCATCCAATCTTGATTTTCAAATTGTCAGTGAAGGCAAATCCATCACAATATTTGCCAAATTGTTTCAATGGTCTGAATTTCCCTAGCTTCAACTTCCAGCCATTGGATTGTTATGCCTTTCTCTGCTAGATTGAAAAGGCCATTATTAAATATTTGAACTGATTGGTTTTGGTCATCATGTAATTCAAGATTTTAGAACTAGAGGATTTCATCTTCTCACACCTTTCCTCCTTTTTTTTTTTTTTAACTCCCAATTGGTTTCTTAACTTTGAATGAACTTGTCATTGAATTGAACTACTTGAATAAACTGAGATAAATAAAATGTTCCCTCTGCTCCTGCAAAAGAGATTACTGCTGTAAAAATGCAATTTAACACTTTTAACAAATTCTGGTTCCAGGTGCTTAGCTAGTAAACCGGATCAGTTGTTTGTAGGGCTGTCAAGTGATTTAAAAAAATTAATCGTGCCATTAAAAAAAATAGAATACCATTTATTTAAATATTTTTGGATGTTTTCTAGATTTTCAAATATATTGGTTTCAATTACAACACAGAATATAAAGTGTACAGTGCTCACTTTATATTTATTTTTGATTACAAGTGTTTGCACTGTCAAAAGACAAAAGAAATAGTATTTTTCAATTCACCTAATACAAGTACTGTAGTGCAATATCTCATAAAAGTTGAACTTACAAATATAGAATTATGTACAAAATAACTGCATTCAAAAATAGAACAATGTAAAATTTTAGAGCTTGCAAGTCCAATCACTCCTACTTCTTGTTCAGCCAGTCACTCAGACAAACAAGATTGTTTACATTTGCAGGAGATAATATTGCCCTCTTCTTGTTTACGTCAACTGAAAGTGAGAACAGGTATTCTCATGATACTGTTGTAGCGCAAGATATTTACGTGCCAGATGCACTAAAGATTCATATGTCCCTTCATGCTTCAACCACCATTCCAGGGGATATGTGTCCATGCTGATGATTGGTTCTGCTCGAAAATCATCCAAAGCAGTGCGGACCAACACATGTTCATTTTCATCATCTGAGTCACATGCCACCAGCAGAAGGTTTATTTTCTTTTTTGGTGGTTCGGGTTCTGTAGTTTCTGCATTGGAGTGTTGCTCGTTTAAGACTTCTGAAAGCATGCTCCCTACCTTGTCCCTCTCTGATTTTGGAAGGCACTTCAGATTCTTAAATCTTGGGTCGAGTGCTGTAGCTATCTTTACAAATCTCACTGTAACATTATGAGTGTAATATAATATCTCATTGAAAGGTGACAGGGCCAGAAAGAGTTAATTAACTCACAGACTGACCTGACCCATGGCTGAACTTTAGAGACTGGTTAGAAAGATATGTAAATGACTAGAGGTTTGAAATGCAAGTCTGCATTGTTAGCGGTAGAAGGGTAGGTGTTTGCTCAGGTCTTGTGATGTAAGCAAACAAGTCTTGTCTATTGCTATAGCTTTAATTCAAAGATCAAAAAAGAAGTATTAACATTTAGGAAGACAGTTAAGTGAAATAATATTATTGTCTATATGTCTCTTTGAAGGTTGTGGTAACGTGTATTTGAATTGTTTGATGGATAAATTATCCTGTGCTAATTGCCATGTTTGGGAGAAGGGAAGTTGTTAAGCCTATTGTTTTCTCAGGCCAAAAGGCTGCAGGAAAGGTATAAGAACCCTGGGACACGATCCTTCTTCATCTCAGATCTGCTTTGGGTTTCAAGAGGGGGAAACCTTAAGCCATAAGGATTGAGATCCCCAGTCACTGACTGGAGTCACCCTGAATATGGACATTGGATTATAACCTATGGACTATTTCTAAAAGGACTTTTGGAACCACAAACTCATCTCTGCTATGTATCTGAACCTCAAGAATTAAGTTAAAGTCTGTATGTATATTGATCTTTTAACCAGCACTCTTTCTCTTTTCTTTTTTTAATAAACTTTAGCTAAGTTAATAAAAATTGGCTATAAGCGTGTATTTTGGGTAAGATCTAAGTTATAATTGGACGTGGATATGTGGCTGATCCTTTGGGATTGGAGGAACCTTTTATTTTATATGATAAGATTTTCAGTAATTATCATCATATATTTGACATGTGTGTCTGGATGGAGGCCTGAGGCTGGGCACTTTAAGGGAACTGCATTGCTTGGACTTCTGAGTAATATGTATGATAATATAGAAGTTGTTTTGTGCTGGCTTGGTAAATCTAAGTATTGGACTATCCACCAGCTTTTAGGGTTTGTCTGCCCCGTTTTGTTTGCAGTTCACCCTAATTGAGTAACCTCAGCTGGCTCCCACGGGCAGCACCATCACACTCACATTGGTAGTTTCTTTGCGTTTTGTCAGATTTGCAGTGAAAGTGTTCTTAAAATGAAGAACAACATGTGCTGGGTCATCATCTGAGACTGCGATGACATGAACTATATGGCAGAATGTGGGTAAAACAGAGCAGGGGACATACAATTCTTCCCCAAGAAGTTCAGTCACAAATTTAATTAATACATTTTTTTAACAAGCGTCACTTTGAGCAGGGGGTTGGACTAGATGACCTCCTGAGGTCCCTTCCAACCCTGATATTCTATGATTCTATGGAAGCATGTCCTCTGGAATGGTGGCTGAAGCATGAAGGGGCATACGAATGTTTAGCATATCTGGCACGTAAATACCTTGCAATGCTGGCTACAAAAGTGCCATGCGAACGCCTGTTCTCACTTTCTGGTGACATTGTAAATAAGAAGAGGACAGCATTATCTCCTGTAAATGTAAACAAATTTCTTAGTCTTAGTGATTGGCTGAACAAGAAGTAGGACTGAGGTGACTTTGTTTTGTTTTTGAGTGCAGCTATCTAACAAAACAAAAAAATCTACATTTGTAAGTTGCACTTTCAGGACCAAGAGATTGCACTACAGTACTTGTATTAGGTGAATTGAAAAAATACTATTTCTTCTGTTTATCATTTTTACAGTGCAAATATTTGTAATCAAAATGTACACTTTGATTTCAGTTACACACAATATAAGATCTATATGAAATTGTAGAAAAACATTCAAAATATTTAATACATTTCAATTGGTATTCTCTTGATTAACAGTGCAATTAAAACTGTGATTAATCACGATTAATCTTTTGAGTTAATCACATGAGTTAACTGCGATTAATTGACAGCCCTAGTTGTTTGCCTTTCTTTAAAACTTGACAGCAAACATACTGTTTAATATTTTCTGTCTTTTAATTTAAATTAGTTTGTCAGTTTCAAATTTAACTTTTTAAATAGGTTAATTAAAAAAACTGTATTTAATTTAAATA